AGTCCTCATAGGACTTTTGGAGTTCGGCTGTCATCGTGGCCATCATGATGCATGCCACTTTGGTGGCATCTCTCGCATGGGCCTAATACTCAGCGACCTCCTCAGGAGTAGCAGTGGACTCATCAAGCTCCTTTAGCTCCTTGTCGAGGACATATTCCTTGTCCTCGTAACGAGTAACCATCCTGATGTTCCGGATCCAATCCCTGAAGTTGGAACCATCAAAGATGACCCTCCCACAAAGGTTCATGAGAGAGAAAGAGCCAGTAGGGTTAGAGCCCGAAGCATTGTTGTTGGAAGACATCTGAAAAGAAGAAAACAAGTTTAGATTAGATATATCAAATCCTTAATAAGACACCCAAATGTAATATTAAGGCTAGGATCCAACACAATATATTATAACTTAGAAGAGGGATGTCGTAATCTAAGCTATAACATATTTGAAGGTAGGTGAATGACGATTCACCAATTTCCACCATGAAAACGAAATGAATTATTAGGTTTAATTGGTTTTGAAATTCCTAGACTCTTTTGAGATTCATTGAACTTTTCAATGGCATGTTTCAATCTCGATTGTGCCCTTCAAGTTTTGTGACGGGGATGCCGAGGATCATAAAACAAGGTGTGAATAACCATGCAAATTCACTTGGTACCCTTAATATTATCACCTAATCAATGTGCCGGTTAACCACACGCGCTCCACCGATCTATGATAAACATTAAGTCACCCTTCGTGATCCTTACTAGTCCAAGTTAATGTGTCGGTTAACCACACACGCTCCACCAACGACTTGGTAAGGTACAAAGTGTGACTTTCATGGGTTAGCACAATATTCACATTTTCCTCAAGTAACTAAGATTGGGAATTTATAAAAGCATTTATTTACTTTATAATATTCATTATACTTTTAATGAGAATTTAAAGTCATTGTCCTACCCGTTCGGCTAACGACCCTCCACCGATCAAGGAAACAGTGGGTGAGAATAGACACCCATTAAGCTGCCATTTTATAGGCAACAACCTTATACCCCCCTTATAGACCGGCTTCGTGAAGGAGGCCTACTAACGGTAAAACGACTTAATCTTATACATATATATAATAATTAACCATTAATGTTATAAATAGTATAAGGGTTGAATTTTAAACTTTTAAAACTCTAAGGGATGGAATTAAAGTATACTAAAGTATGTGAAACTTTACAAATTTCAAAACTTGAGGACAACTTTTGAAACTATTCAAAACTTTTCATTTCATAACTTATTAATTATGGTTCATAAAATGAAGACTCTTCATTTTCATGTAACTTATGTGTTTTAATGTGCATAAAAGAAAGTGACCTTTGGAAATCCATAACTTGAGGACAAATTATGGACTCCACTAAAACACATAAATGATCAAAAATTAATCAATAAACAATTTAGCAAATAATTCCTATGATCTAACAATAATTCATAAGAACATGAACATCATATCAAAATTTCAAGAACATATGAACACATATAAACATGTAATTTTGATATTGGCCATTGTAAATGGATTAGCATAAACATTACACCACCTAAAACAGGTTTTAAAACATCAAAACAGTTTAGGGTAATGTTTCTAGTCCATTTCCAGCAGCAAAAGTCGAAAAACTGCATTCAGAGCCTCCTACTCGTCGAGTGCAGTAACCTACTGGACGAGTAGGATGAATTTGTACATGGACTCGTCGAGTCCCCCCATGGACTCGGCGAGTCCCCTGTTCAGACAGCAAAAAAATTCGACTTTTTTAGCTATTTTGCATCAAGTATCAAACAAACAAGCCTAGGCTCTGATACCATTGTTGGGTTTTGAGCAAACTAACACTCCTAAGGTGTTCAGGCAACCCTAGAAACCTTGGATCTATGTTTGTCTAAAATACATGCAAAATAATTTTCCAAGGTTCATAACTTTATCTAGCATGCATGGGGTACTTTTAAACATAAAAGATACTAGAAGAATTACATACCTTTGTTAATGAGTTGATTCCTTAGGAGTTTGAGAGCCAGACACCAATAATGTGAATGCCTCAAATGGAAATCACAAATCACCACAAACTTGGAAAACTTATGAGAGGGTATACAAGCACTCTAGAAATCGGCCACTCTTATGCACACACACATAGTGTCTTTTGAAGCACCATAAGCCTTTTTATATAGTGTAAATGATTAGGGTTATGAACCATGCAAACCCTAATAACGCATGTCTTTTCCTTTTCCAAGGATCCATGGGTTAAAAGCTCCATGGATCATCCATGGACTCCCATTTAAGCTTAGCCCATTTCCAAATGAGTGTTAGTCCACACTATATAAATATAATAGCTCATTATTTAATTAGTCACCTTTTGAACACTAAATTAATTCATAATTAATTTAAGATCAATACTAAATAAATAATACGATTTCATATTAATATATTATAACTTATAATATATTAATAAGTCACAAAAATACTCTTCTCATAATATTATCCATATAAATAGTTCGGGTGAAGTGCAACCCAAATGGACCATGCCGGGTCGGGTCAAGTATATACCAAATAAGTTATTGACTTAGACACCTTATCCAACATAAACACCATAAAGTTTGCACCTTTAAGCTTAAGGAACCCTCCAAACATCCAAATCTACAAGATTTAGCTTCTAAAATGGTCTTAACTCATCAAGACCAACGAAAAGGGACTAAAATGGCCATAAACAAGTCCAAAAGAAGATTCATAAGAGAACTTGTCAAGATAAGATCTTTATACCTGAAATAACTTGCAAAAGGAGTGATGATTATGGATCTCTAAGCTTCACACTAAGCAATGAACCTTCAACCTTCTTCTATCCCTTTAAAATGAGCAAATAAGCACCAACTTTCTTCACATGAGCTCAAAGACACAAAATGATGGCTAAGGGTCGAAATTTAGGGTTTAGGAGGTATGGAGGCTAGTAAATAGGCTAACCCTAGGGACTTAAGGAGTTTATATAGGGTACATCACCCTAAAATTAGGGTTTCAGTAAATCCTTGTACGCCCAACATAACCCTCGTACGCCCAACGTACGAGGCTCGACTCTGCGATCAAACCTCTCCCTTAATACGTTAAGCGTACCATGTGGTACGCCCCGCGTACTAGCTGAGAAGCTAGTACGCGGGGCGTACCCAATGGTATATGTCGTGTGTACTAACCCCAAAGGACCAAAATGCAATATTTAAATAAAAAGGGAAAAAATGAAACATACCCAATTCAAGTGTTACAACCACCACCATTACCACAGCCGCCACCACCACCTCTACCACCACCACCACTGCCACCACCACCACCACTTGCCACTGCCACCACCACCTACCACTACTACTATCACCACCATCACAACCACAACCATCACTTTCGAAGCCACCAACACTACCACTAATGTTACCACCACCACCATTACCTGCCACCACCATCACCACCGCCCCCACAATCACTGCCACCGCCACGACGACCATTGCCGCAATTACCACCATTAACATCACCCACCACTACTACCACCGCCGCCACCACTACCATCCCTGCCACAACCTTCATCACCACCACCAACACTACCACTACCGCCATCGCCACCGCCACCACCGTTACCAACACCCACCGGCACTACCACCACCATCACCACTGTCACCGCCACCGCCACCAACACCACCACTACCGCTACCACTGCCACCGTTGTTGAATTTTTACTATTTTTATAATTTATATAATGTCTCTTTACATATAAGTTAGAAAATAATGTAAAATTAAGCAAAAAAGACAAAACGAGTAATCGTATCATTTTACATGGATTCAATTTCATTTCCTACGAACTGAATAAAATCTGAAATTAATTCTAATTCAATTTCCTGCCAACCAAGCATGATATAGATATGGATTCAAATTCGTGTTTGATTCATCGTCCAAATCCAATTTGATTTCGTTTAGAAACTACTAACCAAACAACACCTAAAAGTACCAATAGACATAAGAAAACGCGCCTCAAATGAATATCCTCGCATTGCTAACGTGGACAATTCTTTATTTACTTTTTGATAAAATGGCGTTAGGATAGTTTGATGGTAGTTTGGTCGGTTTTTCATAATTGTCATTTATTTTATTTATGAGAAGTAATTCGAACATAACAATTTTTTGCCACATACAATAATTTATGCATTATATTGTTGTACAATACAATATTTTAAAATACCAAATGTTATGTATAAAGAAAAATTATTATGTACGGATCAGCTCCCTTGTTAGCATTGATAAATGATAATTCTGTATTTACTTTAAAATTAAAGGGAAAATACTACAAATGTGAACTTGAAAAAATAAAACTATAATCAATTTGTGGACCATACACTAAACAAGAAAAAACAAATCTACTAAACAAAAGTTTCACAACAAAATTATAAATTCAAAGAAATAAAATCAACAATGTAAAAAACTTATAAAGAAATGTCATTTCCGTACCTTTCATTGTAATTTCTGATTCAGCAATTTTTATATTGGATTGATATATAGTTGACCAATATTAAAAATTGAGCATCATTAGTACATGCGGTGTTTTAAATATTTAAGAGATGTACTTTACTCAATTGATGACGGTGCATAATTAAAAAATCGCTTTCAAATTGGTGAAAAATATAAAAACCTCTAAACAAGGGTTATATATCGCACATTTCTAGAAGTAGAAGGTACTAGACTGATATCCTTAAGGGTGCATTTCTTAGATGTTTCCTTTTAAATAAATCCCCCCACTTTGACAATTCGTCATTGCTTAGCCCCTTTCACTTCTATATTTGGGTCAATACGAACCCCGTGTGCGAAACGCGGGTATTTAGTACAGGAATATTTCCTATATATATTTAGAATGACCCTCTAGTCTATTCACAGCTTAGTACGTCTTTCGCTCTTTCTCTAAACTTTCTCTCTTTAGAATATATATATACACAAAGAGTGACAATACACAGATTTTTTTGTACGTTTATGGAAAAATTGCAACAATACACACATGTATTTAGACAACTGGACAAGAACGGAGATGGGAAGCTATCAGCACCGGAGCTCCAAATTTGCATTGGAAAGGTAGGCGGAGAGTTGACATTAGAGGAGGCGGAGATAGCTGCAGCAATGATGGATTCCGATGGAGATGGGTTGTTGAGCATGGAGGATTTGATTAAAGTGGTTGAAGATGCAAACGAAGAGGAAAAGGCTAATGACTTGAAGATGGCTTTCAAGATGTATGAAGAAATGGAGGGGTGTGGATGCATAACTCCAAAAAGCTTGAAAAGGATGCTTAACAAATTTGGGAGAGTCGAGAACTGTTGATGATTGCAAGGTGATGATTTCTAAGTTTGATGTTAATGGTGATGGTGTTCTAACTTTTGATGAATTTAGGGAGATGATGTTGTGATGAAGAATTAATACCCATGAGTTGATTCATTGCACGTGTATAATGCTACTATTCCTTTCTGGAACATTCTTTTGTATCGAAACAGTTTCTGGTGTTGTCTGCTTTGTTGTTTATACAGATTGACGCAGACTTCGATCAGTCGATAGTGTTATTTTTTTATTGATTTAAATTATTATTAATAGCTTTTGCATGTAAATCTTCTGTATAAATTTATCGTTTGACGAATTTTTTCATTGCTTAAGCCTTGTAAATACAACCACCAGCTTCAAAATTCCACAAAGAAGTGTTTCTATATGATTATGTTTGTGTAAAATTCAATTTAGATTGGTAAAACGGTTATATCAAATTAGAGCGGGAGTATCTAATTTAAACTAATGATGTTGGGTTTCATTGTTTCTAGATTTTTTTTGCATTCGATAATTTGTTTGCTTCTTGATTTATAAGATTTCTTAGTGTAAAACTTGTTGAAGTTGATAAAAAAGACAAAAGTTGCAAGAACATTTTAAAAGAATGTGTACAAAGAATATTCCTTTACATAATAAACACACAAATATCGTTTAACTCCCCGGTACTATTACAATAAAATTGAAATATTTATACACATGAAAAGGTGCAATCATTCATAACAATTGCAACCCGTCAGGAACCATCACACCCGTTCAACTTTGGTGGTTATTTACTATCAATAACTAACAAAATTAACTACCTACCTAATAACTAACTTTAACTTCCAGAATTAACTAACTTCTTGGTAACTACTAGGAACCATCTTTCAAAACTACCAAACTAACCTTAAGTTTAGCTCACATTTCACATTTCACATTTCATTACATAACCCTAACACTCATCATTATCTTCATTTATTTTTATTGAAAAACCATTGAAATTATCATAATCATAGTCCAAAATCTTTTGATCTGGATTTCGAACTACATAATCACAAACACTGCCTATATGGTGCATATCTCAACTTCCTAAAAACCTAAAATTGTAACATCAAGTTCCAGTTAAGCATCACTTTTGTGTTTATCAATTAAGTCTTTAAGGATGGAAACTTTGGTCACGACGTGACCATGAATGTGTCATGACGTGACGATGCCCACGGAACAACGCACATCTTTTTGGGTGTCACGAAGTGACAACATGTTGGTCACGACATGATAGTCTTGCATGCAAAAACCCTAAATTTGGGGTTTGTGCCCCTATTTAAGGGAAATGAGGGTTAGGGTTTGCAAACCCTCAGCCTCGATCACCTCCTTTCACCCTCAAGAAAACCCTAATCATTCATTGTTGATTGTGAGCTCCTTTTTTAGTGATTTCTAGCCTAGAAGAAGAAGGGAATGAGTTTTGGTGCATCATCTCAGCTAGCAAGCCTCTCCCTCGTCATCTTAAACTGGATTAGGACCCTTGTAAGTCCTCAGAATTCCTGCCTTTTTAGCTCAAGCATGTTAGATCTAGACTTTTGTCAACTTTTCTCAATGTTTGAGGAAGTTTTGAATGTTGGAAACTCATAAAGCTGACAACTTTATGAGTTCTTGAGGCTCCTTTGTGATCCTGTGTTCTAGGTTTAGAGTGTTAGTGAGTTATGAGTCCATGCATGAGATCAGATCTCATTTTTCCTTCATTTTGACCTAGCATGTGTCCAAGACATGCATTAGACGTGCATGTCTAAAAAGAAATGATTTTTATGGTGCTTTGGGATGGAGAAAACGTTCTTGAAAGTTTGAGTGCTTGGCTTGAAGGATTAAAAGCTTAAAGCATTAAGTTGTCCAGAGCAATCCTCACGACGTGACGGGTTGGTTTTCACGACGTCACATTGGTCAGCTTCACGATTATTTTGTCCTTACGTTGCCACAACATGACCAAAGGGTGGTCACAACGTGACAACTGGCTGAGTGACCTTTGACTTTAATCGTTGACTTTTTGACCAATTTATCTTTATGTTAATTTGAGGGTTTTTGGCCGCAGTTTGAGATTTGGCCCATGTTTGTTGTATAGGTGACATGTAGTGTCAGTTATTGGATCTATGGTCAGTGTTGTTATCTACTATGCTGTGAGGTGAGTTTTCTCACTATACTTTGTATTGCAGTATGTTTCCTTGTGTGTAGGATGTTTTTATGTTGTATTGTTTTGTTAGACTGCTATGATTACCTGTGCTTGCTTGTTATTGTTTTGGTGCATATGTCGATATAGTGTGGTTGGGTTGAGGCAGTACGACTTTGTGTTATAGGTCAACACACCCGGGACAATCTAGTCTTGTGCTATGGGCCTGGCGACAATCTGGTCTTATGATTATGGGCCTCAGGGCAATCCAGTCTTATGAATATGGGCCCAAGGGCAATCCAGCTTTATATTGTGGGCCCGGTGTGTATGCATTGTATATCTATTGTTGTGTGGGGTATTTTTGGGGAACTCACAAAGCTTTGGCTTATAATTGTAGATTCCAATGTTTTCCGGTACTTCTGATGATCGGGGTAAGGCGAAGGCATGGTCGTACACATCCTCCTGATGATTATGTTTTGAAAGATTATTTTGATACTCGGATTTTTATTGATTTTATTTCAACACAATGCTTGCTTATCTTTATGGTTTTATGAAAATGTCTTTTAAAAATAAAAAAATATCAAGGGTTTTGGGATGTTACAAGTTGGTATTAGAGCCTTAGTTTGAGAGAATTGGATGAAACTTATGTGATTCCTGTAACATCTCGTTTTAAATAGAGTAATTAAATAATAAACATGGGACCCTAAGAAGTAATTTTATTATTATTTCATATTATTGTAGCCCAAAAAATCAATTAATAAATATTGGAATGTTAGTTTCGGGGGTTAAAGAATAATATTGGACTCAATTTGAAAGGATCTTGAATGAATGGGGTTAAAAGAGTAAAATTATGGACCTATGTTGAAAGGATTTGTTGAGTGAGGGGCTGTTGTGTAAATTACGCATTTGATTTGGAAAAGATTCTTGAGCCAGGGTAGAAATGGTAACATTTGGATTAAATGTGAAAGGAAATGGAGATTGAGGGACCAAATATGTTATTATGGGAATTAGTTTAAGGGTCCGGGTATTTAACCCTTCATTCCCGTCACTTGCAACCCTAACCCTAAAATGAATACAGCCGCCACCTTATGTCTCCCACCGGCCACCACCCTCCCTCATCTACCTCCGGCGTCGTTGTCACCCGAATCCACAAAATTCCGATCAGTGAGCGGCCTCAAGCGACTAGGATGGCCGCCTTCTTCTCATTCTCTTTCTCCAGCTGCTATATTGGAGCCTCAGCCACCGCCCTGTCGAGATTTATCGCCACCGTTTGTGGCGCTGTTTCGCCAACACGTTGTCTGCCGTCGCTCGTGAAATCGTCGATGCTATTTCGGCGACCTTGTCATCGAATCCTTTACACAGTAGTTGGTCGCCGACGTTGCTAAGTGTGGGTGTGTGTGCTTCAGTCGTGCCTCGCAAGCTTACGGGTGACTTGGGTTGTTGATTGCGAATAGATGATTGATGGACATGATAGCTCGAAGACAAACCACCATGGCAGTCGGCCATGGTGGCTGCCGCCATCAACGTCGCTGTTGATCTGCTATTTCCGGTGTATGTTGTCGCCAACCGTCACCAGGAGGGTGGCAGGATCCGTTTGCAAGCAAGGAAGCGAGTGGGTGCTTGTTTTGCTGTGTGTGTGTTGTCAATAGTGTGTGTGTTTATTATTGGGATTTAGCAATGTAAATGTAACAAAAAAAATGGAATAATGAAAAGAAGTCATAACCACCACGGTGAGGTGGTGGCTGCCGCCTCCTGCAGCCACCGGCCGCCGGGTCGGGTGGCGGTGTGCTTGCCTCGTTGATTTTCATTCGTTTGGGGTGCTTCAAACCCTAATGGGCCTTGTAAGCCCTAATGGGCCCAATGAAGCGTAATGGGCTTAATGAAAACCCTAATTGACTTAATGATATTCTAGTGGGCCTAATAGGCCCATTAAAGCCCTAATTGACCTAAATCCCAACAAATTGATAAATGGGCTTGTATTTGGGTTGGAAACCCTAATTAAGGTTCGGAAGACCCTAATGCCAATAAAACCCTAATTTGGGGAATTAATCGGGACACACGGGAATTATTTAATAACTGGAGATATTAAATAATAATCAGTGGCAAAAAAAATTAATCTAAGCATATTGGACTTAATGGATTAAGTACTTAGTGGATTAAGTCCTTAATGGGTTAAGTAGGAAACTTAACCCTAATCATCATTTTATGTGAAACCCTAATTTCACTTGGGCCTTAAGTTGGGCCTTTCTATTGGGCTTTGATGATTGGGGTAATAATGGGCCATCCAAGAACAAGCAAATAGGATAAAATAATTTAATGGGCCTAGGGTAAGGCCCATGTAAGGGGTTTGGGCCCAATTTGGAAAATTGGGCCATAGATGGGCCAGAGTTTGGACCTTAATGACTATATGGTGTTGGGCCTAGAGTAAGACCATGAATAGGCTTGGGCCCAATTTGGAAAATTGGGCCATATGTTGGGCTTTGGCCCATTATTTTACTTTTGGGCATTTGTAGTGTGAGTTGGACCTTGGGCTTGGAACCCAATTATTATTTGGGTATTCTTTGATGTTGACAGTTCGAGAATCTGTCACCCAGCAGCTGGAGTTTTATGTGCGGGACTTCAGCAATGCCAGGTGAGTTATCCTCACTATACTAAGGGGTCTAAGGCACCAAGGCCGGCCCATTGGATATGATATCCTAGTAGTTGTATTATGTTGAGTATGAGTTGGTTATGCATGCTAGTTTGATATGCTAGAGGGTAGGTCTGAAGAACTACCTGTGATACTGATTGATTACCTGTATGTGCATTTATTTGTTACATGTCGACATGTTATGTGGGATGGGTTGAGGTTGTACTGTTCCGTGCGGTAGCCAACAAACCCCATAGTATTCCAGATATGAGATGAGGGCCCGGTAGGCATTCCAGACTCATACTGAGGACTCGGGAGCATTCCAGATACGAGCTGAGG